GTCGATGGAATCTGCCAATTAAATTGTTGCACTTAATAAGGCTCGGGTAGAATTTACGGGGCAAATTTGATAGATTCGTAACACATTTTAGTGGTTTTCCGCATGATAAATTTATCTCGAAGCGATCCATGTCTTCAGCAGTCTGACATATTTTCATTCGTTGTTGCTTCATGCGTGATTACGCGTTCCGTTATGTAGCAGCGATGCTTTTTACTCTCATCTGCTTCTGCACTACTACGTCTACTACTGACAACGTGACAGTAGTGTAAAGTGTATACCATTACCCACTACCCTTCGGTACCATTCATTGTTGTTCAATACATTGAATACCAGCACGATCGATTATAAGCTAAATTTATGTATCTTTTTTGGACTTGTGATGCTGGTTTTGACCTTTTTTCACTGTGGTATGATATATTAATTACCAGCATGATTGAGTAAGAACTAATTACCTGTTTTTACTTTCGAATACTGCTTTTTCTATGACATAAATTGCAAGTTGGATGGTATAGCCGTTGTATTTATCAAGGAAAAAACGATGAGTGTCACGACCTTATTTTTTACCGCAAAATACATTGTACATCCGAAACGTGCTTCGACGTCTAATAAGCTTTTCTATGATACTTTACTAAGGAGGAGCGGATTCAAAGTCTCATTGTCTGCTCGCTTATTCATGTAAAGTAAACATTATTCTTACAAAAGACCTCAACGTCTTTCTATCTACATATAACAAATCTTATAGCGATTCCTCTATGCTAATAATGACCGAAAGCATACCAAATTTAACAAGAAAATATGTCGCGCCATTAGTCTACCAAAACATGAATTCTTAATCGTCTATTATGAATATGCAAGATACATTTCTTATGTTTTGGGCAAAGAAAATATCGCTTGCCACAAAAATGAATACGACAAACCTCATCCTTTTTTATCTGTATCGTTCCTCCTGATTCTTACTAATGGATTGCAACTGAGTTGTAGTCACGCTAGATCACATGGTTTAATATCGTAAAGACATTACGCATCACTATTTCAAACTCGCTTCGATTCACAACTCGAAGTTTCAATTGACTAGCTCAATACTTTAAATGGCCAATATGTCTTTGACTATAAGTAGGATAAATGTTGCGTCGCGGGCATAACTTGCAGATAGTTGTCATCCATCAATTCAATTAACATGTTCTTGGTCGAATAAAGTTTTCTTCCTATCGTGCAGAATTTCGTGCCTTAGAAGCATTCGCTATCGCACTTAACAAAATTGGTAGCAACCATCTTTTCTTATGTAACATTTTAGATGTTTACCCAACTCATAAATAGTACCCGCCAGAACACTTGCATATATAGTGTATAAGTGTGAATTAACTTAAATTATATACATGAAATCATATACTTATACTAGATTCAACTCAGCATACTTGAATACATGGACAGAGTATATTTGTGCATCTCTTATTAATAGGACCAATTATTTCTCCATTTTTATATCCTTAACTTTTAAATCCTCTTTAAATAGCTAGACAAACTTTTCAGAAGCCAAATTCTTCTGGAACGTCATTAACTTGTGTTTAAATTGTCCACGCAAATCCTCTTTCGATACTTCTTGATAACTTAAGCATTGTCATGAGCGCCGACTGATCGTATTCAGTAGCAGGAACGCTTTTGCAGTACGAAATCGTGTACAATGCATTTATTGGCTGGTTTGTTCCGTCGCACACACCGATAAAAATCGTAAACGACATTCACTTATAGCGCTACCAAAAGTTGCAAGGTGTAATGTATTATATGTCGCGTTAAATCTCTTTGCTATCGAAACGTGTATTGTAGATGACAAAACCACAATATGAGAATATATAAGTGCTCGAAGCAATCATGATGTGTAGTTTGTACTCATACCACATCAATTTATCACAATCGTTTAGCTAGTTTTAAACACTAGTCAAAAAGATTGCAAACTAGGTGCCACGTTTGTTGTTTTAGGTCGTGCGAGCGCTGGATGGCAAGATGCAAAGTGCATGTGTATAGGTCCTTAGTTTGCAATCTCTTTTGCTACCGTATGCGTACTGGATTCTTCGACTACACCATAGTAATCGCTGTATCGCGCATAACTATCCACCACGCTGAGCATAATTGTATCCATGTCGCATATAGCTCTTCGTTTAAGTGTACATTTTCGAAAGCCGCTTCCACGTCGAGGCGTTTCCTATACAACAACTTTTACGCCAGTATCAATTATATAATTATATAGATATGTATATATGAAATTACAATATCGAAAATATTGGAGGGCATCTGCTGGCATTGTATTCTTTTTGTAAGACGATATCATATTGTAATACATATTATTTGCTACTACTGTCTGAAGATGTACTCATTTTGACCTTGCCAATATGTGTGCAGTAAAATATTTGGTAGCCATGCGTTTTAACTCAAGAAGTATGTAAGAAATACTAGGTATCAATATTGGATTATTGATTGTGATACAACGTCTACGGAGAAGTTAAAAACAAATCCGTATTTATGTTTCCATTCCAGCAGATTTTATTACCCATCAACGTTTACCGAAAGGTCTGTTTACAATTTGCATCTAACGGCAGTGACTTGATTTAACGGGAGTATGAAAAGAAATAAATCGATGCCTTCTCTTTTAATTAGCAAAATAGCCATTTAATTATGCCACATCACCCATTTCGTTTAGGGTAAGACGAAAATTTACAACCTGCACTTTTCGTTCCAAATACATTCGGGCTTGCGTGTATAATACCGTCTACACCATGTCATATTCTTACCGTCTCGTCACTTGGCCGATACGAACAACGTCAGCTATGTGGCTTTGCAACAGAACACTACACATCAAGACATAAAAGTCTTGGTGTTACCGTTCTACTCACGTCCCCATGCTTGCGAGGTAAGGGTAAAATGAGTTTTATTGACAAAATAGAGGCACATTTATGGTGAATATCAAGTGTGAAAAAAGACTGAAGTTATGTTAACACTTTTCAAATAAAGGCGAGAATTGTAAAGGGGTAGCCGTTGCATGACATTTGCTATAATATATTGTCAATGTAAACTTTTCCTTTAGATGTAAAAGACGGATAACGAATAATGGCACATGCGAGTCGAATGACATTTTACATGATTGTGATTCTAAATATCTACATTAGCAAATACACACATACGAAAAGGGGTATAAGGAAGCTATGAGATACGTCTAAATATTGATTTGGCTGGTAGAGCCTAACGATGAAATATATTAATGGCAAGATAAAATGGAGGTCGTACATTCTATCGATTTCATAATAAACATAGATTACACGGTTCTGGTACTTATTGTACGTAAAATATCGGGTGCACTTGCTTACACCGCTAGCTGTGCAATTCCTTCCAATGTATATGTACAGGTGAATTGTGCCCAGATACAATTTATGTTGTAACGTATGATGTTTTGGTCTGTCTCGATGATAGTATACTTATGACTGTCATCACATAAGCAAATTGGCACCTTCACTTTTCTCGTATAGATGTAGCATCGCAAGAGAAAAAAGAAGACCCTTACGATATGTGATCGGAAAAGGTGTCTGGAGAGATTATTTATCGCTAGATATCTGGTCGCCTCGACATCTCTTTTTCTTGACTTTGAATCTAGTTCAGGAAGTTCCAGCAGATAAAGGTCACGCATTAATGAAGGTGGGTGCTATCTTACATAAGGGCATTGTGTGGGCACGAATCATGTTGCTTCTGAGTCTTGCTGTAAAATTGGTGAACAGTCTGTCAACAAAACACTGTCTTCGCACCACGTGTACATCGAAAGTATATTTTATCACGACGCTGCTGTGTTCAATCTAATTACATTGATGATGTTTTCCTGACAGGCAAACGGTGAGATCACCAGTCGACTCGCAATTATCGCTGCTGGAAGGACCCGTACGCGCGAAATTTGATGTTTTAATCATCATCCAGAGATGGAAGTGCTGGTTTCAGCAACAGTCAATTTCTTTTATATCGAAATGAAGGCGTAGACCACCAGATTGACTTGCTCAGTCACTGATTTATGATCTAACCTTAAGGGTGACATCCAAATCTCTCTCATAAGTGGTCCAGTCACATAATTCACCGCCATCGATTACCTAACAGAGCCACTATGATGAGGCGTTTCGTTTCTGCAGACCCAGTATACTTTGACACGCTGATTCCAACGTAGACGCGTCGTCGTAGACATACGTAAGAAGGCGCAGTAAATTGAAGGTGACGCTTAGCTGTACAGAAAAAAAGGGAGACACCTCCTGTTTTTTGGTGAACGTAATGTCTATGATGCGGTATCTTGTAGATTTAGCTCGATCGTTTCTAACAACAAACACATATATGTATATATATTTATATATGCTGGCTACCTACTCACCATTCACTGCGCGCAGTTGCCATCGGGATTAGTGATGTCGATGGCTGACACAATGTCCAATATCATTAAATGTCCAACGTTTTGCCAATTACGCCCGCATCAGACGATGTGAGTGATGATCTCGCGATATGACGCTTTAAGGTGAAAGTAGTAAGCCGTATCCGCTAAAACAATCTCCACATTGGCATTCAATTTCTCAGTAACGTCACGCAACAAGGTCAACCCACTTCTGATACTCCCAATCCTTTTGCAGGAGGCCAGGCATATTTACTTCCTGTATATCTTAATGGTCAGCACAGAATCCTCCCTGAACATGACTTTGAGCAACGTCTTGGAAGTTCAACGATTACAATGTGCAGATTGAAGTTGCGCATCAATGGACCTGAAACCGGTGGGGCCTATTCTTATGTTAATGTCAACATTCACATGCTGAATAAGACATAGCGTCAAGTATGTTGTATGGATGGCAAGCATTGATCTGGCTACATACAATCTGTTTACTGCATCATCGTGCTCGCGTTTCGCATGACCTATTACATGCGCAGCGTGACTGGACTTACGACATTACGGCCACATGTTCTGAAGCGAGTGCGTCATACCAAGCCTACTTCTTTGCAGCCGGCACGGCTGCTGTCGAGCTGGAAGCAGAAACATCAGCTGGGCCGTCAAACAGTCTCGTCACGATCTGCTCGATCTCGTCCGGTGTTTTACCATTCTTCGTCAGCTCCATGACAAAGTTTTGGCGATCCTTATCGACTAAGGCGTAGCGCGAGTTCAATGCATGCTCCTGAATAGGAGTGATGGTAGCACTGGTGCGGGGCTCGACAATCCTCCACGCTACCCTATCCCCACCATTGTGCTTGGCACACTCGACGACGCCATTGTCGGCGCACTGGAGGACCTTTCCCGTGTAGTGCGACACAATGTGAAGAGAGCACTCTGCGTTAGTCTCCATGGTAAAGAGATCCCAGTAAGCAATTTCCGTAAGGACAAACATACATATTCCAGACGGGCGAACTCGCAGGAAGTGAACGTTGCGTCGGGACTGGATAGCGACCTTATCGTCGCGCACGCGGTGCAAGATGACGTGCTCGTACATGTCCCGATTGTCGGTCACGCAACGGGCTATCTTGGATCCGGGAGGGTTCTGCAAATTCTTCTGCGTGTGAAGGGATTGCATGATGATCGGCGTGTTGAACGGAATATCGGACAGGTCCATGGTAGAGATGTGGTAGCAGCGTGCGAGGTTGAGGGAGTAAAATGCGTTTTGATTTAGTGATCACTCGCCAGGAGCTATTCAAGATCTTTTCGTATAAAAAGCGGTAGACAAAGCTATTGCAGAGAAACTCGATGATGCCGTTGTAATGTGCATAACGAGCCTGATGCCAAGACTGACGGTAGTACAAACGATCTGAGTGAAAATACTGACGTTGCGGTCACCTCCAACGGTCTCGTCAATGCGGTAACGAGTCGAAATTGAAATTACGATACCAGTCTCATAGATGATATGCGCCATCCCACCAGAGTGAGACGTTTCGCGGGAACGGTCGGCAAGAATCTGACGCAAGCCCCATCGATTCCAGTGCAGTCGCAAACCAACGGCTCAAACATGTCAAATTGCGGTATCCGTGTTTCTGTCATTGAGATACACTGATCGCGGTCGATGTATTACAGAAGTCATTGGAATGATATGCTACCTAGCTTGCATCATCATAGTCAATAAGTTTACCTCAGTGTCTTCTTGTCGAAGGTCGCGTCGACCTGTCATAATTAGCGCAATGTCATTTTCTTCCCCCTCGACATTTGTCGGCAGCGTCTATAGTGAGGGCAATACCCAGTTTGTCGTGGGTGATTGTTGCTTATAACCCTCAGGTATTGCGTACGTATTCTTTCTTTCCCCCTTAGTCGTGCCTGCTCTCTGTGCAGAACTCCCATAGTCTCTTCTTCCAAATTCGGTATTTCAACTTGAATGATGTTGCGGTAGCTCTGCATAGAGATGTGAGTATCCAGTCTGACCGCACTCTGTTAATGAATGAAACACCACACTTGTGCTAATCTTCACGAATGATGTAACAACGGGGCCGTACTTGCTTTCCGATCAGTCCAATGCTTACCATCTATACGTCCATAACATAATTGGTAGCCATGACTTATGTGGGTTGACTGTAACGGGGCACACCCTTGCGTAACTTAACGCAAGGGATTTGGGTGCCCCGACGGACGTACACGTGGCAAGCGAGGAAGCGTAGGTAGGGTAAAAGTAGAACTGTTATATTAATAAATTAAGTCTTTAAACTACTGTCTCTTCGTTTGACTTAATTCAATTATACTAATATAACTGCATGTATGGTGACGTCTCGTCACCACTCATTGCGCGCGTCTTGCGGCGATTGGTGGGTTGATATCATCACGATATCAACCAATGAACAGACCCTTTGGTCGACCCTTCAATATCACCACTTTGGTGATATTGTTTTAAAGAATATCCATCTTTATATTCTTTATTGTCACTTTCCTTAAAGTGACAATTTCATGTAACGGGCTGCCCCGTTACATCACCCCCCTTAACTGATAGTCACCGTGTGACTATCGAAAACATGGAGGCCACCCGTTGGCCACCATTGGGACAGGGAGCACTTGTTGGGTCCGTTCCATTCACTTTCCGCTTGACCTCGCATAGTTAACATGTCTATGCGAGGTGACTTAAGACCCACACAGCCTGGTGCTGTGCAAGCCTCTGCGGCAGACGCTTCGTCGTCTGCCGCCTCTTCTTCGCCTGCAGCAACAGGTGCTGCAGGTGCACGCGGTATCACACCGCGTGCGCACGATGACCCTGATGTAGAGGTCATCTACTCTGGCGAGTCAGACGTGTCTGACTCGGGCAATGCTCCAGAGGCGTCTCGCTCACCGGCGACGCCTCAGTATTCGCCAAGACCACTGTCGAACGAACGGACTCGTGATTTGCATCACAGTCTGTTCGGCAGTGATGATGATGATGATCAGGGTGGTAAGTTCTATTCTTCACCACCGCCGGCTCGTGCGTCTTCGCACGAGCGTGATGACGATGGTGCGAGCCGTCGTCAATCTGGGAGCCGTGGTACCGACAAGGGTACCACTGTGAAGCGTTATGAGTTGAAGCCGTGGCGTTTGCCCGAACAACTCATCAATAGCCTGTCTCACGAGACAGGCCAAAACCATCGAATACCCTTATTCGATGCAACCGAGCTTCACGGCTTGAGTTCCAGCGCGAAGAACTTTCGCGCTGAAGAAGATTTTTATCTCGATGTCTTTCTTAGACATCGATGGTACAACAGCAACCAAAAGCGTGACAAAACATCGCTTTTGGCTGCGTGGAACGCGTTCGTCCAAAACGTAAAGAATTTTGGACGAGAAGGGTGGCTCAAGAAACTTGAGGCAACACGCCTCAGGTTCGAACGGCGAACGCCAACCGGTGCTAGGTACCGGTTGCATTGTTTATCGAGTGAGGCAGGCATTCCTTGCCTCACATGGGGAGACCCTTGTGCGAATTGTGTTGACAACTCGCAGCGTGCACATAGGGATGTGTACTCCCTAAATTCGCCCTGGGGAAGGGCACACATCTCGGCTGAGATGCGTGACGCGATTGCAAACTTGCAATCCGTCTACAAGCGCCTTGGGCGCGTGTTTACCGATGGGCCACAGGACTCATCGGATGGGTCTCGTCATACTGGCGGACGAGACCTTCAACATCCATCAACAGCTGAGAGCGGGGCTCCCAGCTGTTCCAAGAGGGTGGATACCCCCGCCACTGGACGAGGTAGCTCGTCCTTGATCCTGAATCGTCACGGTGATTCAAGATACGCTCCACTAGAAAGCGTCGATCACCGTGAGCATCCACCAAAGGATGTGGTGGAGGAGGAAAGACCTCCTCCAGATGATTATGTTTACCATCTCGACCCTTACGAGATGGATCGCGCAATCGATGAATTGCGCGATGACTTGAAGCACGAGCGCGATCGGCGCTAAGCTTTGACCGATACCGTGCGGAAGAACCGCAAGGGTCACGAGGCTGATCGGGCGAGGGATCGCGCCGATTATGCCACGGCGCAGCTTCAGGTCGAGCGGGATGTCCGCTCCCTATTCGGCGAGCTGGCGACAGCTCGCGGGGAGATATCTCGGTTGAATACCGAGGTAATATATCTGCGCGACCAGACGGATCGTCTGGAGCGCGAACGCAAGAACTTGATGGATGTTCTTGAACGTGGGGGCTATCTTCATCGGAAGAAGAAGGCTCGTACTGACAGTACGGCCTGAGTCTCCCCACGTAAAACGTAGGATGCGTGCGCATCCTACGTGGCAATTCGAGTGTGTATGCATTGCCCTTGCGATGCAACACTCGAAATGGCCCAATGTATTTCGGCAGTAGTTTGCTACTGCCGACACTAGTGACTGCATGTCCAGGTAGGTTTACCGTTGACAGTAGTACTAGGTCGTTAAACTTAAATGAAATAACATTTGCTCTTCCATTCTTGTCTGCGTTCCGTTTCTGACGGTCCACCGCATTTGCGATGGAGTCCTGAACGAAAAGGACTACCGCTTCTCGAGTCAGCAGGAAGTTCTCTGCTGACTCATTAAAGTGTATTTCAGTGCGCTTCGTGCGCACTGCTAAGAGGTTCTTCTCTTCTTTAGCGAGGTTGTCGTTTTCCTCTCTGGCATAATCGTTGACGATGCTGAATATACCAGCATCATCATCATCATCCGCGTCAGTAATAGCGTCGCCGCTATTACTGAGATGATCTTCTTCATCGATGTCGACTTGATCGACATCGGCATCATACGTGACGACGTTAGCGTCGACACGTGATGAGCAAGAGCCAAAACGGTTTTTGCTCGAGCGAGTTCCTCCCCCCTTATCCAAGAGTCACACTCGAGAAGGGTGGGCACACGTGGATGGCGTAGGCCATTCACGTAAAACGGTGTGTGCTGTGTTGAAGCATGCACCGAATTATTGATGGCGAATTCCACCATGGGTAGGAATTCGCTCCAACTCGGAAACGAGTGGACATATCCTCGAAGGATCTCTTCGAGGACACGGTTCGCACGTTCCGTCTGACCATCTGTTTCTGGATGGTCAGAAGTGGACATCTTCAATCGTGTTCCGAGAGTACGGAACACGGTTTGCCAAAATTCCGCCGTGAACCGAGGGTCACGGTCGGATACGAGTTCACGGGGTAACCCGTGGAGTCTAAAGACCGTGTCTAGAAAGACACGAGCACAACCTTGAGCCTTGATTGACTCAGGGACAGCAGCAAGATGGACCATCTTGCTGAATCGGTCTACAAACACAAGAATACCATTATTCTTGTGAGCGTCTTCGGGAAACCCGAAGACGAAGTCCATTGAAACGGACTGCCAGCACTCTGTCGGAACAGGCAGAGGCTGCAATGGCGCACGGGATGAAGGACTAGGCTTCACCCGTTGACAAACTTCGCAAGCACGTATGTACTTGCGAACAAACTGATACTGGCGGGGCCAGTAAAAGTCACGACTTACCGTGAGGTAAGTCTTTTCCCTTACACGATGGCCGCTTGTTGGGGCATCGTGACACTCGTACATGATGCGCAACCGCAAATCATGATGAGCGGGTACGACGACACGAGGCGTGTCGTCGGCAACAGCTGTATAGTACAGCAATCCGTTGCGTGTACTATACCGATCCGATGAGGATCGGTACAAAGCCGGTAAATCCCTCATGGATTTACTGGATGGATTCACCAGATGATCCATCAATCGCAGAAGATCCCTATCTTCCGCGTATGCCTTTCGTACGTCGTCAAGTAAACTTGACGACGGGACACTGACTGACAGTGTCGCAACAGTGGGCTTATCCTCATTGTTGGATTGTGCGTCCGGCGCGAAATCGGGCCGGCGCGAAAGAGCATCCGCGACGACATTGAGTCGTCCCGGTTTATACTCCACGGAGAAGTTATACTCCGCGAAGAAAGACAGCCACCTCGCCATTCTTTGCGAGAGGTGTGGGCTGTTTACGGCCGTGCGTAATGACGCATGGTCCGTGTAGACAACAAACGGTCTATCTCCCAAGAGATAGACGCGAAACTTAGCCAGTGCGTATTTAATGGCAAGGAGTTTCTTGTCAGGCACTGGGTAATTACGCTCAGCTGCTTGCAGCTGACGCGACTGATAACAGATGACGCGCTCCGCGCCATCTGCATCGAACTG